AACCTCCAACTCCTGGGCTCAAGCGAGTCTCCTGCCTCAGCCTCCCAGGTAGCTGGGACCACAGGCACCCGCCACAACGCCCGGCTATTTTTTGGTTGCACCCATTGTTGTTGTTTGGCAGGCCCGGGCTGGATTTGAACCCACCACCTTAGGTGTATGTAGCTGGCGCCTTAGCCGCTTGAGCCACCGGCGCTGAGCCCACACACACACTCTTAAAGGATCAACCAGCTTAAGTTGGATCAAATTAAAACGGAAGACAAAGTGAGCACCCAAAGAAAAAGGTAACTAGGAATAGTATCTCAAAATACATTGGTGAGGTTCTAATAATGTTATTTACAATCTTTTTTAATTTTTACAACTATTATATAAAGTAGGCTATGTCATCCTTTCCATTCTATATGTAAATAAAAATGGAGTAAAAGAGAAACCAAAATAATTGGACAGAAGTCATACAAAAATTAAGCTGGGGAATTGAGACATGGTGCCTACGCCCAAGTGAAACATTTTGCCCTTTTTCTCAGGCCACCTGCTCTTCTTCAGACACAGAATATCTCACAACACTCCTTTCAGTACACATTTCATATGAAGAAACACGAGCATGCTCATATACCCCAAAGCAGAAATGTTCTCTTACTTCACAAATCCCATCAATACAAACGTCATTTTTGTTCGGGGAGCAAGGGGTTCCATCTTTCACTTTGCCAGACATTGCAAAAAAGAATTCAAAGTTCTCAGCCTTGCAGTACAGTTTACATCGATCTTCCTCTAGAAGCAAAGAGATGAAAGTAGGACATGGTCAAGAGGAAGCTGTCAGGAAAATGAGGTGTCTGCCAAAAGGATGAATTAAATTTGCTTAGAATGCTATCATCAAAATGAAAAATGCTATGTTATGTGTACACATGCATGCATGGGTGTACACGTGTAAGCACATTCTTATGTGGCTTTTCAAAGTATGAATCCCATTTAACAATCCATATAAAAGTGATTTAGTATTAACATAGAATACTTTTAGTTTTTTTAATCCTTAGCAATAGTCATCATACACACGATTGGTAGGTTGTGTACTGAGCCTTCCTGAATAATAATTATTTTAAGCTTCGTAGATCCCTATGTAACAAAGGGGTGTTGCTGTGCTCCAATAAAAGTTTATTCAAGAATAAAAAAGATGAGATTTGGCCCAGAGACCATAGTTGGATGACCCTGATTTAGGACATGGGTTAGTTTAGGTATTTATCGAATCTGTTAAGAGGAAAGGTGTTAGATGCTCTGGAAAAAAAGTATATGGTCAGTAATGTTCATAAAATATATAGAGAAGAATCCTATGGTAAAAATGAAGAGGAAGTGGATAAATTAATCATGAATGCTAAAAAGTAACTTTTATTGACTCATAAGTCCCTGAGGAGTTTCTGGTATCAGAGGCAAAAAGAAAAAATATATTTATAGAGCTCTTGTTATCAGAAAGGAGTTACTGTGCCAATTTCTCCATAGAAAGAGCTCTTCTCGGCCAGGAATTCCAGATTGTGTTTCTCACAGGAGACCTCATGTGGGCGACATTGAATGATATCCTTAACAACAGTCCAACAACAAATGTGCAAACAGTTTGCAAATAGCCATGCTTCATACCCCCACCCCGACCAAAGTTAAAATTTAAATGTGCAAAAATTCAATTATTACGGTCCAAATTTGCAGATGTGTGACTAGATTAAAAATGTCTCATCCACAAATTTTTGCAAACAGCAAGTTAATTTAATGACTCTCTTAAATGTTTACATATGAGATTACAGAACCAGATTTCCATTGTCCATTATTTGTAGGGATTAATAAATTCCAGAAAGCTGGTTTTCCAGTGCAGATTTTTGGAGGAGCTTATGAACAAGTCCACCAAAAACACAGCAGGAAAGAAGAAAGAAAAAGCCCACTGTTGTGGGACAAAGACTGTCCACATTTATGAATAAAGCCTTCCTTTGTTCTTCCTAAACTGCAGGGAAGTCACAAAACCTTCAAATCACGGTCAGTCTCTTCTAATGTAAGCATCACAGAAGACCAAGAGGGACCAGGAGGCCTTAACTTTTCTCTCTCCCTCCAAGAGGATGTGAGCTCTTAAGGCTGAGGTCCATGTTTAATCAGTGTACTGTCCAGCATAGTGTTTCCTACGCAAAAAGAGCTCAGCAAACACCTACCATGTGAATGAATGAAACTGCATATTCCCTACTTAGTGAAAACTGTACCAAAATTAGTGACAGAACTTTGCAAGCAGAAAGTATTTTCCTAGTTACAAAACTTATTTAACTTTCTCCCTATGCATTCAACGCAGACACTATGGAAAGGGTGAAAACAGGACAGATACCTTGTTTCCCCCCAAATAAGACACTGTCTTATATTTATTTTTTCTCAAGAAGACACACTAGGGCTTATTTTCAGGGATGTCTTATTTTTATTAAGTATAATGTAACAATCTACATTTATTCAAATACAGTTAAGTCATCTTCTTCTGGAACCTGACAGGGGGAGCCGACCTTGTTGGTGGGGCTGGCGCTAGTGATGCGTGAACTCCTTTCCCCTAGCCATTCGCACATGCGCAATAGGATGCCTGCAACTGCAGTTACCACACGTGAACCTGCTCAAGTGCAGATACGCTGCATAGCCACGCCCATCACTAGGTCTTATTATCAGGGTAGGGCTTATATTTAACAAATGCATAGAAATCCTGCTAGGACTTATTTTGGGGGTAGCTCTTATTTTTGGAGAAACACGGTATCTATAAACCTTATATTTGAATGAGAGAAGTAAGGTGGCAAAGTCCAGGAAGCGAAAGCAAAGAACAAAAGAAGTGGAAGGGAGGACAACAAAGTCTTTGAGAAAGAACCACAGACAAGATGTGTGAGATTGCAGAATATACAACCAAGGGGAAAGAAATCTTTGAATGGTGGACTGTAACTATTCTCACTGCTCATTAGAACCTGCCTGTCAGAGCCTTCCTAGGTAATTACTCTGTTCCTGGTAGAATGTCTCCAGTATGGAGAATGTACTACCTATAAAGGGAATATACTTCCATTTTTGACAGTTAATATTTACTTCCTCATTCATTTCAAACGTTATAGCTATTAAATAAATATATGCCAAGCATAATTCTTAGAGGAACAAGAATGTTGAGGATAGACAATTGCTTAGTCCTTGGGGAACCTGAATTCTCATGGAGATAAAGATAAAAGAGTAGATAAAAACATATTCATGCCTTGAGAAGCGTTACGAAGAATAAAGGAGGGCAGTGGTTCTCAACCTTCCCAATGCCGCCATGTATTTTCATTGTTACAAAGGGGTCGCGACCCACAGGTTGAGAACCGCTGAAGTAGGGTTTAGAGAGTGGCATGAAGAAAGGATGTTTTGAAAGGCTTGCAAGCAAAAACTCTTGAAGGAAATAATATGCCTAGGAATTTAGTAGGCTTTATATTAATTCTATTCTCTGAAGCAATTTCATATAAATCAAAAACCCCTTTCTTTGAATTTTTGAATGTCACTACTTTATTTTCTAGAGTCACTGTCTATAGGTCCCTTATTACTTTCTCTGAAGACACAGCTTTTTAGAATTTTCACGTCTGTCTCTATCTGTGCTTTGGACACTCGTGACTCAAAACCAGATCGATGATTCTGAAATGGCTGGGCTGGGCCAAAATAAAGTGGCACCATCCTCTCATTTGATTTGGAGGCTCTGCTTCTTATCATGATGTTTCTAACCCCAGTACCTTCCTTTACAGTGATTGATGATACAGGTTCATTTTGAGTTTCTGCCCAGGAACAGTTCATGAACTGTCATGAAATTTAGTCTCTTCCCATTTCACATGTGTGCCGTTGGGATCCCCACGTCCCCTTTTTCAAGGGAGCACGGAGAAGTTTTGCTTTATTAAGTGACAGCTTATTCTACACAGGTAACAGACACTACATTAAGTTTCTGTTGTAATGAAAATTCATGGTTGAGGATTCAGTCAAAATGAAAACAAATTAGTTGTAAAAATAAAGTACGAGCCATAACTTTTAAGCCATATAAGTACTAAGAGTCTATTGAGATAATTTTTACTCAGGCTCCTGTGTGTGCTCACACATCCCCTCTACAGTCTGTCCCATGCCTATAATTATGTGACATGTCAATTACTGAGTATGGGGTCCCTATTGGGTATATATGATTTCTTGACTTTTGGGTCTGGACAATTCATACCAACTTCAATTAACATCCCTGGGAGACTGAACTGCCAAAATGTCAAAGGTAAATTGAGAAACATAACTACATTCCAAACACGTGAACCCTTTGGCTTGCAGAAGTAGGAGACAAGGGGTATCTTATGAAAAAAAAAATGTAGAAAAATAAACAAAACCCATGGGATGAAAAAGTAGGCCAGAAGGGGTCTGGGGAATGAAAGGTAAACATTGAAACTCTTAGACTCAGGCGGTAATTTCTCCTGGGTCGCTTGTTCCCATTATCACCCACATCGAGACCTATTTATTTGAGGGTCACAGAGACCAAATTACCTTCTACTTTTGTATAGGGTTTCCACTGGTAGAACCATCCACGGAAAGGTTTGCTGTTGTATTCCGCACACTGCTGGGCTCGAAAATCCAGGCTATTTTCATGACAAGGGTTAATGTTACACAGCTGATAAACACGGCTTGATCCTGGACAGAACTTGCCGCCATACTGAGGCCTGAAAATACAATTGAAGAACTTTAATGCCAGTGATCAACTTTATTGCTATTAGTCTAAGGTGACCAGACGTCCCACTTTTGGCGGGACAGTCCTGATTTTTAACAATTTGTCCTGTGTCCCACGGCGTTTTTAAAAAGTCCCAATTTTTGGAAAGAATGCATGACAAGCTAGGGAATGGTGGGAGAATAGGAAGGGAATATATGGTTTTTGGCTGCCATGTGGCTATTTCGCCAGGATATGAGTTTTATATTATTTTTGTTAATTTTATAATGTTAAACTTTAATAATAACAAATAATTGTTGAGAACTGATTATCGAGAACTGCTTATCAAAGTTCACATTGTTGATCAGTTGTTAGAATTTGACCACCATTGTTTGGACTTAATGAACAATGGCATATTTTGGCCTTGGCAATGACGAAAACATTTTGTAACTGTTTCTCAGACGATACACATCATACTGCGTGCTAGTGCTAGTTAAACAAGTGATGTCAACAAATCAGCTATTCAGATAATTTAGGTAAGTAATTAATTTATTTCTCTCATGAATTTAGCAGACAGTACTCATATTATTTATATTTTATAGTGGCAGTAAAAAGTCTAGCACCGGCCTTGAAAGTGACACGACTTACAAGGTATCGTTATTGAAAAAATATATTGATAAGGGTTAAAAATATATTGGAAAAGGTTAAATCTTGGGCATCAGCAAAAATCACAACAGAGAACAAACGGTTAGAAATATTTCATCATTTTGAAACAAACCATGTTCCAATGCACTAAAAATTGTGGGATATGCACTGTCCTTACTAGGAACTAATGCTGTGACTGAACACGTTTTTTCTACAGTAAATAAAGTGTGGACAACAGAAAAATCATAATTAAGTGTTGAGACTTTGAAAGCCACTTTATGTGTGAAATATAATTTAACAAATTCTTGTGAAAAATTTCATGACCTTTTAAATGATGACGACAACAATCTACTAAAAAAATTTACTCAAATGAGAAAAATGCCAAAGAATAAAATACTACTACACATAATTTTTTAAATGTATATTTGTAAATTGTACTTATGTTGAAATTAAAAAATATATATTACAGTACTATTTTTGTGTTCTATGAAAATTTTTGTTGCTCCATATAGACCAAATTTTTAATTAAGAACCTCCCCACCCCCATCAATGATGTCCTGCTTTACCAACGTTAAAATCTGGTCACCTTATATTAGTCCCATGAAAGGACACGAGGAGGCACAATCAAAACAAGAACTGTCACATGTGGGCAGTGGTGTACATCTGTTATAGGAAGAGACACTCCCTGCATGCAACCAGCTACCTCTTCCTGCATCTGTTCTGAACATAACCCATCAGGGAGACTTTTTTCTCTCTCCTTTCCTTACCACTGCTCATGAACCCTTTGCCTGCAGAGCTCTCAGAAACAAAATATGCCAATTGAGGTGTGCAGCGATCGCAACCACCATTACGACACGTCATGCTTGGGTTTCTGACTAATCAAAATAATTCACCTGAGTTGGTTTCCATTTCAATACTTTCTATTAATATGGACAACAAAGTAACATGCAAACAAAAAAATTAACATGAAACATGAAATGATAAAGCGTTGGCATATCAATAAAAACTTAATAATCCTTTCTTGCATAGTACAACTCAAAACATGGTTCCATGCCAAGTCCAATGAACTTGATGACACTTGAATTTATTATACTCCACATTTAGGGCGGCCTTAAAGTTCATGTGTGCAATTTAAATAGTTACATTGCGCACACGAACTATAGGGCCACCCTGTGGACTCCCACGAGAATCCACTACTTGTACAAATTATTTCAGGCACAACTGTAAAAAATATTGAGAATGAAGCATATGATGCTTACAGACTCAAGTCAGGTAATGTAACAATAATAGGGGTCCTCAAGGTTTTGTTTGGAAAATGGACAATGCCTAACGGCCACGTTTACATCAAATGGACATCTTGTGGGAACGCCTATAGGGGCTGTTCACCATCAAAAGGTTAATTACAATTAACATGCTCCATCCAGGGCATTCACCATCACTGATTCAGTCTTTATGTTCTACTGATTTCCTTGGAGTCTGCTGAAAGGGTATTCTTGACACTCATCCGGTCCCCTCCTTTATTGGGGAAATCTGTAAATACACCTCAACAGTCTTATTAATGTGTGCCAGTGTGCTTGGATGCTACATACAGACCCCCAACTCCTGATATTCTGGCACCAAAAATCTTCAAACACGGCCTCAACCTACCTCTTCAGCTTTTCTCCCATTTCCTACCACCTGTCACCTTCCTCTACTTAGCCACCCATCTGCTACGCCCTAAAAAGTCAGGACACTGGGGAGTGGAAACAGAATGGACCACTCTCCATGGTCTCCTATGGAGTGACTGACGTGGAAAAAAAAATCCTGATTATTATCTGACCCCCCATGGGTTTTATTCTGAACTCTGAAGAGAAACATTCTCCTGGTTTACATCAGCATCATGGCTGGGCAACTTTACAGGTGGCCTTTCCTGCCAAGATCAATGGGAAATGGATTTCCAGAGTAGCAACAAGCTCTTGAAGATCTTGATAGGCAGATTCCCATCTGCAAAAATCAGAAAGCAAAATAAAGGAAGAAAGAGCCCAACCACGCTGAAAATGACCACCACCACCCAATCCGGCTTACTCCATGCAAAAAGCAATTGCTTTTCTTCATTCCTCCCTTTTTGGAGTTTTCTCTAAAGGCTAAAAAACTCAAAGACGGTTCATCTTGTATAAAAATTAATGCCAACATGTAACACCAAAGGAGACGCAGGGTTAATAAATTCATGTGAATAAAATTCCTTGTCTCTCTAGGCAACACTAGCTATAAAACACCTCTGAATTTGCTGCGGCATAGTTTATCGAGTCCCTGCTCTAACTGCACGGTTAAGGGATTCAACAGAAATGGGACACGAGACACGGCCAGGATGAGATTTTGATGCTATTTCTAAACCTTCTACAGCAGCCGCTTAAACGTGCAGGAGCCATTGTGATAAATCAAATCCCCACAGGCTTCTTAATTTATTATCTAAACAGCATTTAGAGAAAAATCTGAACGTGTTATATCATAGCCTGGTCATCTTTACAAGGCATACTTAAAATTAATTTCTCCGTTTACGGTTTTCTGTCTGAGATCTAACAAGAAACCCTCCTTCGGACTTCGCACAGTTGATGAAGTGAAAGAAACCAGTGTGTTACTTGTCAACTCCCAGAACTTGTAACACTGAATAAACCTCCGAGCTCTCACAGTCATCCCCTCATTTCAAAATGTGTTGAATGAAGGTCATTAGCTAGAAAGCTCAAGCTCTGTCCTTGGATTCCTTTGTCCAAGGCTCTTTTCCTGCTCTGCCATGCCTACATTTAACTGAGTGAGGCCACAGGGACACGCAGGGGAAGGAGAACGAAGAGACAGTTTGACGCAACAGGTGGAGACCTGGTCTCTCATGCAGACCCCGCTTTAAATACACTATTCTCCGCCTCTTGCTGGTTTGACTTTTTTTTTTTTAGAGACAACGAGTTTCACTTTATTGTCCACAGTAGAGTGACATGGCATCACACAGCTCATAGCAACCTCCAACTCCTGGGCTTAGGCAATTCCCTTGCCTCAGGCTCCAGAGTAGCTGGGACTACAGGGGCCCTCCACAACCCCCGGCTATTTTTTTGTTTGGCCAGGGCCGGGTTTGAACCCACCACCCTCGGTATATGGGGCTGGCGCCCTACCCACTGAGGCACAGGTGCTGCCCCACTTTAGCCAATTTTATTGAAACTTCTTGCCTGTCAGCTAGGGACAATTACCTGTGAAGAATTTAGGGCAGCCTCTAAGGCAGTATTAGCACAAATAAACTGTAACTATTTTCAGATCCCTCATCCTTTTGTGTAAGTGCCAACACTATCCTGAGTCTTCTGTGGTCTGATCAGTATCCACCACCACACTTCATCTGAAATTACGGGTGGGATAAGGGGAAAGTGATCAAAAGTAATGATCACTTTGATTTCATCCAATCTTTAAATACAGGTACATTTTTCTGCAGCTTTGAAAACCAGTGCTAGGATATAGTATCAGAAAATTCTACTGTGATACCCTTAGGCATAAGTAGTTAAGATTAAAAACAAAAATGAAAAACAAAAATCTAGGCATATAATTTTATCATTATATTAGACTACTTATATATGCTTCTGCATAATTCATCAAGTCCTCACTACAAATAGTTATATTCATTAATCATTAGAATCACTTGGGTAGCTCTGTTAAATCATATGTAATATATTAATATATATAATTTATATATATATTATATATATTTATACAGATTCCTAAGCCCCTCCCCAGACTTTCCCAGTAAGAATGTGTGATATGGAAGCTCTAAAAATCAGTCAGATTTATATGTACTTTTATAAAGTACATCTGGCAATTCTGATAATCAGCTGAGCCTTAAAATTACTGATCAGAGCACATGCCACAGTTTTCACTCAATTATTATTCTGGAGCCAGGACTTTCCTCCTACTCCCGTTTGCTAAGCTGCATCAGAGTAAGTGTTGTATTCTATTCTCTCAAATGGACTCGTGTTTCAGGAAAATTCTAGAACATGGGAGCCACCGCTAGTCATTTTCTTGACCAGAGTTCATAGGGATTCCACTGGGTTTTCTTACAGTGTGATTGGGAGGCAGAGAAGATGTCAAAGGATTGAGATTGTAGGTCTTGATCTACCTCTGCCCAGTGTGGGGACCTGAGCAAAGTTGCTGCTGCTGTGAGGGGGACCCTCCTCCTCCCCATGTCACTCATCTGTGAAACCGGATTAGCCGTAGGTTTCAACTCATGTGTCGGTTCTAACCAGATAGGGAGCAAATAGCTAGTAGTATTTGAGAAGGTTTCTGAGGCACAGTAGGGCTGAGTAGAAAATAGGGCTTCTATCAATCAATCAATTAAAATTGTCTCCCACATACAAGGGAAATAGGAGAGTCCCACGAACCTGGCATTTGCTATTCCAGAACTAAATAACCTTTAGCTTTTTTTTTTATTGAGACAGAGTTTCATTTTATTGCCCTGGGTAGAGTGCCAGGGCATCATAGCTCACAGCAACTTCAAACTCTTGGGCTCAAGCAATCCTCTTGCCTCAGTCTCCCGAGTAGCTGGGCTACAGGCACCTGCCACACACCTGGCTATTTTCAGGGACAGTGTCTTGCTCAGGCTGGTCTTGAACTTGTGAGCTCAGGCCATCCACCTACCTCTGCCTCCCACAGTACTAGGATTACAGGCGTGACTCACCATGCCTGGCCAACCTTTAGCTCTTTAAAAACACATACAAAAAATTGATAGATCATAAATCAGCCAGGGATTTTTTTATGAAACAAAATATTTTCTGGGCAAAAATTATTACATGAAATCCAAACCTCATACTGCTTTGCAGATGAGAAATGAAAATGGTGAGGCTGAGTGATGTGAACAGACCCATGTGCTTAAACTGAAGCAAGAAATAAATCTGCAACTTGCAACGGGGGGGGGGGGGGAAACAGTTTTGCTACAACAAAGTGAAATAAAAACAGAGGGAGAACAGTTAATTCAATCGTCTTGGGGCAGCCTATCGTCTACGTGTTTTATTTTCCACTTCATGCAAAAACTGTTTGCATGATTATCTTTAATCTTGTTTAAAATGATCAAACTGCACCAAGTGGAAATATTTTAGTGATTAATTCTTTTATTAGGCACTTCTAAAATTGCAATATGATATTTCCATGAACAATGCCCTATTACAATGGGAGCTCTCAATCGTACAGAGAGGGGAGAGGTTTTAATTTAAATCTCAGGGGCGTCATTCATGCAATCTACCAGCAGAGCTATTAAATTAGGTAATCTCTCTCTTGCTTGGGAAAATATCAAGATTGTAACATGTTGTGATGTATGAAAACCAGATCCAGGGTCTATGTTTCAAAAACGTAAAGTAATATAGCGATTTTAACGATTCTATTTAAGACACAGGAGCTACATTCAACGCATGGGGGGGGGTGTGATTTTAATAACCTAGTATAGGCTGCAAGTTCACCCCAAGCATCCCTACCGCTGTACCCAGTTACTGGCCCTGATTAAACCAGACAGCCTCAATCAGAGATGATTTCCCCCCATAGGACATGTGGCAATGTCTATAGATATCTGTGGTGGTTGTAATTTGGAGGGTGGAGGGTTGGAGAACAATACGGTGGCATTTAGTGGATCAAGGCCAAGGCTACTTCTAACGTCCTACAACATACAGAACAAATCCCCACAACAAAGAATTTTCCAGCCCATGTCAACAGTGCTAAAGGTGAAAAACCCTATTTTGGCCTGAGATATCCCAAGTGGCCCCTGATACCTGGGCAAAGTACCTCCAGCCCCTTCCTTATATTTTAGATTTAAAAACCAAATACCGTTTTTATCCATTTCAGACTGCTGACTTAACATGAAGTCCCAGTTGTCTCTTTTAAAATTTCCTTTAGCTCTGGTTCAGGGGTATCCAACCTACAGCCTGCCGGCCTCCGTACTGACTTTATAAGGACCTTTTCTGCTCATCTGTGATGTTGGGTATCATGAAAAATATGCCTGAACCATTTCTTTTGCTAATCAGTTTTCATTAGTGTTTGTATATTTCATGTGTGGGCCAAGACAATTCTTCCAAATGTGCTAGAAAAGAAAAAAGATTGGGGGCGGCACCTGTGGCTCAAAGGAGTAGGGCGCCAGCCCCATATGCCGGAGGTGGTGGGTTCAAACCCAGTCCCGGCCAAAAACTGCAAAAAAAGAAAAAGAAAAAAAAGGTTGGACACTCCTGCTCCAGCATCATCTCAATTTACACATTTATGCAACGCTTACAATGTCCAACCCGTTTAAAAGCATGTTGTAAGCATTGACTTAGAACTGTGGTTCTCAACCTTCCTAATGCCACAATGTACTTTCTTTATTAAAAAAGGGTTGCAACTCCCAGGTTGAGAACCGCTGACTTAGATGGTGTAGGTTCTATCATCATTATCCCACTTTTGTAATGAGGATCAGGAGCAGGAAAAGTAAGTTTTCATCTGGCCACACAGCTATGAAATGCAGAGCCAGGATGCAAACTCAGGTGTTGCGTCTAAGTTGTCCAGAGTTTGTGTTCTTGGTACTATGCTACCATTCACCTGTGTGGTAAGACTAAATCCCATCCTCTAAGATCCCATCACATATTCCTCCATCCATTCTCCAAAGTGCAATGTCATCAGTAAGACCTCTGCATCTCCCATCATCTCAAGTCCAATGACGTTCCCAAAATGACATAGTTAAGTAGCAGCAGATACATGTTTAGGAGTCTATCTCCAAAACCGGGGTTCTTTCCCTATCACCCTGCCGCCTAGGAAACAGACATCTCACACGTGTTTCACGTGGGAGCTGGAGAGCATGAGAGTGAACATCAAACCACGTTCGTGTTCATAGAGCACAGGGTACGGCTCAGACTCCAGGACGGCTGGACCACAGGGAACTTGTACGTGACCACAGGCCAATTTCAACCCACAGATGATGATTTGATGACCTGTCAGAACGGTTGTTTTGTTTTGTTTTTCAAGCAAATTGAATTTGTTGTCAGTGTTTTCAAAACTGGGAAATCACACATGCAGCATTTTTTCCTGGTTCTGGTTTCTCCTGAAAAGCCAGGCAGATCTGTCAACACCTGTTGACGTACATTCCTGCAAGGCAAAAATCAGCAGACCTTCTCCAGCTCAGCAGCTTGAGAGCCACACACGTGATGCCAGCCAAGCTTCTCTGTCCTGTAATATCTCAAGTATTTGTACGACGGCGTGAACCTAGTTTAGATTAAGAAAGGAACTCAGACTATTACTGGGATTCTTGTAGTTCTGTATCTTTGCACACAGAATCAATCCTTTGCTGTTTTGTGGTTTCTGCTCCCCATACCTTTCCCCAAATACACACGGCCTTTACGTGCAAAACAGTAAACCTTGGTTGACTGCCCTTAGCTGGAGGTAAGAAAACCACACTTAAAACCAGCATGTTACAAGCTCAAGGTTAATGCGTGGCCAGGACTGACTTTCTGTCGGAGCCTTACTTGGGGTTATTGCAGTGTCTCTCCTGATACTTCACGCCTCCACCACACGTCCGGGAACATTCTGACCACTTGGACCAGGCAGACCACTGACCGTGGATGGGTCGGGGCCCCAGCTCCCCAAACTTGACGCACTGGCCTTGCCGACACCACTGCAAAAGAAAGTATCACATGATTCCTGTTAGAGGACCCCCAGGGAAAGCCCAGGAGATGCAAACACTCTCACAGTAATAGAAAAAATAAAATAAAATAAAAAAATCAAGTCTGTTAAGCAAAAGGAGAACACGTGACTTGATAGTCCTTTTTTCTTGAGGCTTTATAAACACAAAGTTACTCTGCATTTTCTGCGGACATTTTGAAGGACTGACATCTAGAAAAAAAACTGGCTTCTGAGTCTCTTTTCAACAGGCTGAGTATTACATGCTCTGGGAGGTGAAACGTTCAAATAAGATCCCACCTAACAGCAAAGGCCGCACAGATCAAATTACAAGGCAGCCTCCCTTGTCACTTCGAAACAATGTGACCTAAAGAACAATCTGGATCCTTCCTTCAAAGAGAAACCATTTTTAGGATCTTAACACAACTTATCTATCAGTTTGAATGACGATCTCATCATCTGAACAGATCCAAGCACACATGCCTGATATTTTCGATTACTCCAAATCACCAAGACAGGGGATATCTTTGGAAACCGAGTAACTTCCAGTCTGCACAAATTGCACTTTTATAACATCGTTCATTCTTTTGTGTATACTAAAGGTCCCCTCTTCAGACCCTGTGATGGCTTCGCACTCTTTCTTTTGTCTTTGATGAATTAACTCCGGGCCTTTCACTTGCCTGTGATCTGTAGAGGCGAGGGGGAGGGCTATTTTCTGTGTTAACCTTTCCATTTTAGGTCTCCTTTGTAATAATAAATTGCAGGCTGCTGGTCATCTCTCTCTTGGGGGTTGCATTGGCCTCTGGTAGGGTTGGGTTTTTTCCTGTGGGTGCTTTTATTATGAGCAAGTTATGCATGAGTTAGCATAGCTGCACTCTTCCCTAAAAGCCTCTGCAATTAGATCCAAAAGTTTGGAGTTTGGATCATGCCAGATTTTGAGGAGGTGGGGGGGAGGGGGTTGGTTACAAGTTATGGGAAGCTTGTTTGACTTTCAAATCTTCAGTTTCCCCCCCATGATACCCTTGGCTCCGTGGCTGTTTATCGTGTGGCTTGGTTGTGAGTGTTCTTTGTCAAGGTTAAGATACTGCTTCCTTTCTGCAAATGACTGCCATGTGCTGATTAATTCTGCTGTTTTTCGGTTTTGTTTTCCCTGGGTTAATTGCCATTTCGGAGTTTACACAAAATCACGAAACATGGTTAAGCATTCTGGGGGGCAAAAGCAATAGGTCATTTGAGGATTTTGTCTACCATACGCATGCATGTCCGCTACCAGGGATTACAGGATCTCTCTGGGACTAAACTCAATGGCTGAGACAAAATAAAAATAATAACAACCGCAGCCAACAACAAGCATAAAAACAGAAGCAGCTACAGCTTATTAAGTTGCTTCTATATGTCAAAAATGGTGCGCAGAACTTCACATACAATATCTCGTATCATCCTTGCAAAGCATTTAGGAGTTAAAAACTATTTTCTGGATGAAAGCAATTCAGCAAAGACATACTAACTATCCGGCTCAGAGTCATACAAGCTACCCACATAAAGCTACCCCAATAGCTACAAAAGTAGCAGAGATTGGATTTAACTCAGTTTCCAAAGCTCCTATGGGGGCACGCTCAATTTCTCATCTCAAAGGCAAATTACTGACCAATGATCTTAATTCTAATCTAATTTTGTGTTTGGAAATGTATTTCCAACTAACTCAAGTATTAGGTCAGTTGCTGACTGATTGCCTCCTACTCACTTTTCTTTCTTTCTTTCATTTTTTTTTTCCTGAGAAATTCTCACTCTGCCACCCTGAGTAGAGTGCTGTGGTGTCATAGCTCACAGCAACTTCCAACTCTTAGGCTCAATTGATCCTCTTGCCTCAGCCCCCTCAGTATCAGGTGCCCACCACAACACCTGGCTAGTTTTTCTATTTTTAGTAGAGACAGGGGTTTCGCTCTTGCTTAGGCTGATCTTCAACTCCTGAGCTCAAGCCATCCACCTGCCCTTGACCTCTCTCTCAGTTTTTAATCAGTGTAGAAATCAGGAAAAGATACGAAAATACACACAGACACGCACACATCCACCTGTATATGTAAAACTAAAATAAATTGCAAATATGAAATATGTACACACAGCATTTTATCCATCTTTCCATAGGTACATATTTACAGTGCTACCTCTAGTTTCAAATTCAACAGCCATGACCTGAGCCAGTACCTCTTAGGAGAGAGCACGCACAGACCTTCCTTTCCTTGTACACATATCTCTAGATAGAAGCATGAGGCTTTGATGTCCCCATACATCTGCTGAGGATTTGCAGTCTAAACATGGATGAGAGATAAAGGCACTCGAGAAGAAAGAGGAAGGACACAAGTAGTTACAGCGGACCCAACAGAACACTGGATAAGCTCTGTGCCAGACACTCCAGACACAACTGAGAGCATCCCGCATTCAAAACATAGCGATCACCCACCATGGAGATGGTTCTTAGGGCTGAAGATGCTCCCTGGCAAAAAGACGGAGCAAAAGGCTAGATGGAGACGTTTCTTACCCCTAATGGGACAGTCACTGTAAGTGATGGGGATCTATGTCAGAAGCTCAATGACAGGCCCTACGAGGTAACAGGAGGCCTTAGTCTGGAGGGACAGTCATTTCCTAATTACTCATGGGAACTGGTGCTTCCTGAAGCTTTTACAGCCTGCACCAAGTTTAAAAGGCAAATGGTAAACAATGAAGCCTATTAGTTCACTGAGTTATTCCGATGCAACCCTCCTCTAGAAAAGGAAGCACAGAAACAAACAAAAAAAGATCTTCTTAAACAATTGAGCTAACTGGGTTCGATGGAGATTTTCTAATCACTGCACAATAATTCTGGTTCATTCAAAGAGAACCCAGAGAGTGTACACAGCCAAGGTTCCCCACTTCAAGGTCACACTACAAACAGTTTGGTTTCTGGGCCTTATCGAGTTTCCAAGGCCAGAGACTAACAAGTATCAGTTTACCATACTCAAGCCACAAACGGTCCCCTCCGCTGCAGGCAGAAACTTGGTCTCACATCTGTGGCCCACTCGGTGACACCAAAGAGATTTGCAGATGTCCTGAAAGGAAAGAAGGGTCTGGTGAGGGTGACAACACGATAAAATCGAATGCATTCAAAATTTCTATGCCCAGTATTATATTTTGGGGAGGCTAAAAGGAGACAAATCATCAGAAAGTAGAGACGAGGAAAGTTGGTTGTTCCAAGGTAACATGGTCTAGTAAGGACCTAGGAAGGAAGTTTCTAAAGTACCCAGATAATCGCGTGTGGCTTAGAGGTAGCAATAATTAGTTTAACAAACGCTTGGCTTGGAAATAAGAGATTTGATTTCTAATGATAATAACAATAACCCATGTAAGAAAATAGACAAAAACAAGAATCTGCCAAGTCTGATTCAAATCTGTGGACTTGTTACAGAATCCCTTTATGTTACAGTTTCCTCACCTGCAAAATAATAAGATTAGCACTGGATGCTATAAGAATTGTGTTCAAGGATCAATGAGGAAATATACACAAAGCGATGATTTTGCCTGGCGCGTGCAGCTCCCCCCAACAGTGGCCGTCATCATTATTGTGGCTCCCTTCTTTGTCTTTACGGCAATTTTCAAACATTTACCCTAGACCTATGCAATGATTTAATTTTCACTGTAGACTGTGGTTGGCAGAATAATGGCCCTCAAGATGTCCAGATCTTAGTCCCAGGAATCTGTGGGTTTGTGATGCTACACAGCAAAGGGGAATCAAAGTTGCTGATGCAATTGAGGTCAGCAATGCATTGACCTTGAGATGAAGAAGTTGTCCTGCATTGTCCAGGCGGGTCCAGTGTATTGTGAAGGAAAGAGGAAGACAAAACCAGAGAAACGATGACAACTTGACAAGAGGCAGCAAGACGCTGGTGGTGTTGAAGACAGATGAAGGAGCCATGAGCTAGGGAAGGCAGGAAGCTTCCAGAAGCTGGAAGCAAATGCCTCGGCCCATAAAATCTCCCAAAGAAACACAATTCTGCTGACATCTTGACTTTAGCCATGTCAGATGTCTACCTCCACAACGCTGAAGGTCATAAAGTACGTTCTTTAAGTCACATTAAATTTGTGGAAATGTATTACAGTACTGATAGGCAGCTAATGCTACCATTTTTTATGGTAGCAACTAAACAAATTGCTTATCTAAACTCATTTAGCGGAGGAGACTGAGCAAGCTACTGACACCTTCAAAGCTGTCAAGGCACACAGCTGGCCGGTGACAAAGGCAGCATTCCAACTTTATTTTCGAATCTGATAACTTGGCTTCTACCCTGACCTAGATCTGCCATGGAATGCCAGAGCTCTCCACTTTAAGGTCACAATACAAATAGTTTGGTTTCTGTGCCTTATCAAGTTTCTAGGGCTAAAAACTAACAAGTATGCAGTCGACCATTCTCAAGCCACAAACGGTCCCATCTGTCACAGGCATAAACTTGGTCTCATGTCTGTGGCCCACCCCATGGCCCAGTGGTGATTTGCAAATGTCCTGAAGACTCTGTGCTTCTCAGGCCACAGCTTCTGCTCTATAAGGTAAGGGGACTAAACCCTGAACCGGGCTACTTCTAGCTCAAACAGTTACAGTGGCTAGTCAGAAGAAGGTCACTAACAGAATATCGTGGAACACCATGAAAGGTCAAAGTGATTCCATTTTGCCTGTCCCATTCTATGTGCTAAGGTAGGAATGTGAACAAATAACATTTTGCGGGAAAATATTACCAACCACGGAGGGGAAAAATTGACTTCTGTGGTTACCTGTTGTAACCCTGCATATCAATTAACCTGAATATCCAATTCACCAAGCATTCCACTTCATATAGATTTTACAGTTAGAAAAGATGGCAAGAACATACTTAGAAACATTTCTCTCTCAGAGCTTTTCATAGACTAAGGGAAGAAACCAGAGAGAAACCAGAGAAATTCTTCCCCCCACCCCAAAAGAGGACAAAAGAACAGTGAGGACACTGCTTAGAAATCCTGTCACCATCAGCAGGTCCACATGGGGGCACACATATCATCTCCAGATCTCTAGACAGCTCATGAGACAGAACAGATACATCTTTCTCCATGAACTTGCCACTAACAGTAGAACGCAGGAAGCAGCCTTCCCACAAACTGAATCCAGGCTGTCATCTGTGTGTTGCACTTTTGAGTCACCGTGGGTTTGAGCAAAACCAATACACGTGGTCTGTGTCAAACTAGAGGAATGAGAGGTAGCCATTGGAACAATTAAAACTACACTTAGAACAGCTTTCAAAATGAAGCTGTTTCTCTTCTCGCATCCAGGAGAAAGCTGTCACCCGTGTCCACCGCCCACGTGGCAAGCACCAAAATGGCCCCAGAACAGACCAAAGGGAAGAGGCTGAGATGCCTCAGCCAATGCCAAACCGCCAGGCCGAGAGAAGGGGCAGCTGGAGAGGACCAGGGAAACAAAGCAAAGCAAAACAAAACAATACTGGGATTCCAGAGTGAAACAAGACAGGCAGTATGGACACGTTATCCCTTCTGCGGTGAAGTGCGGAAGTCAAGTGCAATTATAGCCAACTACATGCTTTGACGACCACGAGAGCCCTCAGAGAAAGCTCCCTTTCTAAGTAAATAGAAATGGGAGTTTGCACTTTTTTTTTTGTTTTTTTTTGCTTCTACCCCTTTTTTCTAGCATTTCAACTAATTTTTTCCTTATCTCTAATTCCCTGGACTTAATTCATAATGTAAGGGGAGAGGAAATAACCACAGAGACCGCAAGGTTTCATGTGGCCTAGATATAATTTTTTTTGGAACTGGACAATACTTTAAGAAAAGAGTCTCAACACTGTCCATAATTCTGTCTTGGCCCCCACGGGCCATGTTCTCCAGTTGTATTCCATAGGGCGCATGCCTCTTCAAGTAAAATGTGACATGCTGAAAATGTTCATGGCTTTTGACAATCAAATCATATAAAGCCTCTCGAAGTTAGCACATCAGAAGGAAAATTCCTGCTCTGACCCCCAAACCTGCCCCATGTTCCACCTTCCCCATTTCACTGTTTGATACCTCCGTACCTCCAGCAGGTCCAGCCCCACCCCTGGGTGTCATCTTCAATTCCTTTTCTTTCTATGTTTTACTGGCAGACCCACCTTCACAAGCCTTGGCTTTATCTTCCCCTTATCCCTACTCAGATTATTCTCAACACGCTTACAGAAGCGGCATTGCCCAAGATGATAGCTACTTGCAACTTGTAAGAACTGAACTTAAATGACTTAAAATTAAAATTTCACGTCCTCAGTCACACTGGTCACATTTCTGGTTCAAATGTTCCTAGTGGCTACCACAGTGGATGACAGAGAACATGTCCATCAGTGCAGACAGTGCAGATGGACGGAGCTAAAGAGATTCCTCCAGATCCACGTCACTTCTCTGCTCTAAACCTTGCCTTCTCAAGACACCAGGAGAAAATCCAGAGTCCTGATCACCACCTCTCAAGACCCGGGTCGCCAAGCTCCCTTTATCTCTCCACCATGCCTCTTACCAGTACCTGCCTTGCTCACTCTGGAGTGACTACACAGCTCTGCACACACTCGGGTCTCTGCACTGGCTGTTCCTCTTCCTCAGCTATCAGAACATTCAAATCTTGCCTTCAATCTTTGCCTAAATTTCACCTCCTGTGATCTCACTTTTAAAACACTGAATCAGTTGAGTCTTTAAAATGACTGGGTTAGTTTCAGAGTCTTGTCTTCGAGTTCTGAGATTCTTTCTTCTCCATGTTCTAATCTCTTGCTGCGATTCTCTACTGTGTTCGGAAACCCCTTGAATGCCTCAACTACAACTAAGACTTTGGACTTTCCCTTAGAAACACAAACAATGTAACCTGATCATATATATCCTCATATTAATCCAAAAATGAGAACAAAACTAATCAGCCATTCCCCAATGCTCCTTATCCTATTTCAAAGTCATTTAGCCTTGGCAGCTTTGTTTACAACATCCTTTACGTAAAGATTTTTGTGCTTGTCTCCTCCCTGATTAGAAGAAATACAGACTCATCCAACCATCCTGAAAAGAAAAGGTGACGGGCCTCAGAACATGTCTAAGAATCGAAATACTACGCAGCCATAAAAAATGATGGAAATTTTATTTCTTTTATGTTTACCTGCATGGAACTGAAACATATTCTTTTTAGTAAAGTATCTCAAGAATGGGGGGGGGGAAGTATCCAATGTACTAAATACTATTATGAAACCAATCTATAATCACTTATACATTCACATGAATGATAAAACACAACTATAGTCCAGAAAGAAGGAAGGAAGAGGAGGGAAGGGGAGGAGGGATGGGGAGGGAAGGGGAGGAGGAGGGAGGGTATTTGGTGGGACCTCACCTAATGTGCACAATGCAATGGTACATTACAAATCTATTAAGAGTAGAGTATAAATGTCTGACCACAAGAAATAACTGAGGTGATGGTTATGTTAATCAGTTTGATGGAAGCATTCCACATTGTATATCAAATCAGCACATTGTACCCCGTAAGTGTACACAGTTATGCGTTAATAAAAATAAAGAATTAAAATGCCTTCCCTACAGTTTCTATTCAGCTTCAAACTTTCTCAGCAGGTCTATAAACAAAGTTACTACACTCCTGCTATGGGACACTAAGGGTGCTGGCTACCGTGGTACAAAGTCAGCTGAGAGAGGATCCATTTGCACAGCTGCTCGCTTTGAACTCAGTGAAATAACAAGCATGGAGGCATCAGGCAGAGTCTCTTGGTGTGCCCAGGTCCTTGTGGAGAATGGCATCTGTTCACTCGTGTCAGTAAGCATCTCCTAAATGTGTAATAATCGAATATAATCAAGTGGATGGTCTCCCCAGTTGATGTACAGGTGACCCTCCCGTAGGTCCACCCACATACCATGGAACCACTATCTAGATCAGCAACTCACTTTCTTGAATACTTTGGAAGGGAACAGAGATCAAGTTTAATATACCACAGACATGGGTACTTGAGGCTGGGTGGGGAGGGGAAGAAAAAGAGCCAGCCTCAGACTCTCTGACAAGGCTGGTACTGGGGGAGAATAGTCAGATGTGACAGTGGTGGTGACGCTGAAGACATACAGAGAGCGAGAAGAAACCCTCATCGTTTACTAAGTGATGTGACAATACCGAGAAATTAATCCTCCCAAGTTTATCAGGGAAGAACCATTAATATCTTCATCTTACAAATGAGGACATTAAGGCTGAGGGATGATGAGTAAATTGCCCGAGTTTCTAGGAAGTGGTGGAATAAGGTCTCTAACTCCACAATCTAGAGACACCCGCATGCACACACATGCATGCATGAGTGGTGTTTAAAACTGTAAAGTGTCTCACTCAATGCTTCTCAACCTTGAGGGTGCATCAGAGTCACCTAGAGGGCTTGGTAGAGTACAGGTTGCTAGGGCCTGTCCCCAACCACTCTTATTTCGTAGGCCTGAGGACTCAAATCTCTAGCAAGTTACAGCTGATACTGATACATCGCAGCTACTGGTTGGAGAGGATGCGTTTGCTTTGAGAATCGGTTTCTTCATCATTGTTCTCCTAGCCACTGTGCAAAGCTGCCTGTCTAGGAGGCATAGAGAGGGGGGAAAAGTAGGTAAAACGAAGAGGAAAGGGGAGAAAAAGTTGTGCTAGAACAATAAAGGCTGTGAAGACAAACTTCATCTCTCTCCTGTGTTGCTGGAGCTGGTCTAAACCATTCACACTGGACAGGAAGAAGTGGAGATGTTGTTTTGGGCAACTTCTTCTCCATAGGGCCTGACACCACATATGTTCCTCAGAGCTGTGGCTATGGGTTCAAGTCATAAGCAGGGTTAGAAGTAAACCCAAAAGCCAGAAGGTAGGGGGAAAAAATCCACCTTCAGAAACCCTATCTTTGCCCCTTTAGCTCATCATCATCTTAAACCATCTCTCCTAAAAGCAAACCTACCTACCCTCCAGGCGCTCCTATCTCTGGCCCTTTCTTCAACTGATTCAGTCTTCTCATCTGGGACTTTCATTTCCTTTCATTCTGTTTCCCAAGGAGGACCATCGGCCTGAGATCCTGTCTTTCAAAACTATGGTGTGGTTCCAGGAATCTGTCTATAATTTAGGAACGGTGGCTTAAGCCCTATTAACTTCCTGACACACAATAGGCCTTCCACCAATGTTTGTTGAACGCATGTTCCTGAAGAAACGAGAGTCATTTTAGAAACTTCCTTTGCATTTCATAAAAGAAGCAGGCTCATAAGTAATTGTGCGTTTGCTGCATAGTAAATGCATAATAAATATTTGATTAATGAATGAGATAATAAATCCTTTCGAATGAAAGTGAAGAAGAGGCAAAGTCAGGAGACGAACGTTTTCATCAAAGCAAAGACTACCTACTTTTGCCCAAAGCATCAACTTAACAGGCAAAGAGAAGCCGTTATAAATTTGTGGATTTTTACATATGATATACCAGCATTTGCCAAAGCAAAGTCCATGTGCCAAGAAGAATATACCAAAATAAAAAAAAGAAAATTATTCATGGTCGCTAGATGACTTTTTGTAACGGTTAGGCATTTAAATTGCGTTGGAGAAACTACATAATCCCATAACAAACCGATGATTGGATGGATATTATTTCTTAGGACTAGACTTACGTTTGCAGTTGATTTATGGGAAAGCAATAATTAATAAAAATATAGAGATACAGCATAACTAATAAAAGTAGTTTTTCATGACCAAATGTTAATCACTGAAGTTTAGGAAACACTTTGGTGGCGTGCAGAAAATTCAGCACCCGTGGGGGTAATTTGTTTTATCCAGATTCCACCATTTAAAAGTTTTCTGGCTGTGGGCAAGTTGCATACATTCTCTGAACAGTGATAATTTGACCTGAGGGGGCTTTGTGAAAGTTGAGGTAAAGCAAAATATAATAAATTCCTAAGTAGACTGACTTACGTGGAGCTGAGGCTCACTTAGCAACTGCTAGAGGTGGCAGTGAGTGGTGATGGGTGGGGGGATGGGGTTGGGGGGGATGGATGGGATGGGCCTGATGGGTGGAGGTGGAGAAAGAGGAATGGTGAGAAAGAAGACACCAGAAATAGGAATTGAGGGAAGGGAGCTAGAACTCGCCATAATTTCCATGTATCCAGGTACCTAGAACTTCCATACTTCTCTTTAGGTATCGGGAAGCAATCACCTTGAAAATAATTCTACTTTCTCGTGACACTGGGATTATAATATTGTCAGAGTGAGGCAATTCTTGACCAAACGGAACAAGGTTTCTCTCCTTCCGACAACCTAGACTTTCCCAATTTCCCATTTATTTTTTCACAATTTTGAATCCCAGACTTGACTTACAAATCTTACTCATACTACCCAAGAAACGCCTTGAACTTTTAAACATAATGTCAAAAAAGCTGGCTGGCTAATAATAGTTTTCCTATATTGTACAAAGCAGAAAATGCATTTTGGGGTGATGGTGATTTTAAACGTATTAAGAAAGAAAATGATTACAAAGAAAACAGAAACAGCAATTAGCAGAAGGGAAAAGCTATTGTTCCCAGATTTACTACCAGGCATAAAGTCTTCATTTAAGGAGGTAGAATTTCCTACAAAGGATGCAGTCACATCGTTTTTATCTCGGGCATGGTCTGTAGGGATAAGTCTGCATAATTCACTGACAGTAAAATTACCATTTCATTATCAAGCCAAACAACTGACATCTGAGAGATAACCCAGACTCTAACCCTCGGCCTCAGCAAACCAAATGTTTATACGTCTGTTAGGTACACAGACACATTACTGAATCCTAATGCAAGTTTGAAATCACAAGCAAACATACCTTCACGAAACCAAGGCTGCATAACTTGGCTTTTGCTCCAAATTGCCACTTGCACTGAGTGTCAGCGTCATAAATCTGTCCCGGTAGTTTGTCTGGATATTTATACTGTCCTGTTTGCTTGGGCTCGTCCACTAGACACCCGGCCTGAGGCGTGCTGTAGTGATAACACATCCTTATTAATCACCGTGTAGATCTGCGATCTTTCCACTCAACACAATACACCTTTGAATGCCTTCATGCAAATACAAATACAGTGTGGTTAGAGAAAGAGGTGCATGTTTAAAGCCGAAATCTAAGTTTATTCCAAACAGTGAGTTCTGAATCTCAGAGGATGGAATGCACACAGCCATGAAGGGTTTTTACAGGATGCTGGAACTTCTAGCCATGCAAGTAATCTGGGTTGGGATTTGATTGGAAATAGGTAAAGTCAATGTATTTGAAAAGTCCTCTCAATAGCCTCACTCAGCAATATGTAACTACTCGTATCAAGTGTCTACTCCATGGGAAACATTAGGCTAAGCAATAAAGGTACAAAATAAACCAGACAGATATAGGTCCTGTCTTCATGGAATTTTATCTAATTAATTGCTTTGTTTAATTAATTAATTAATTTTCTTTGTAGTTTTTGGCGGCAGCTGGGTTTGAACCAGCCACCTCTGGCATATGGGGCCAGCACCCTACTCCTTTGAGCCACAGGCACTGCCCATTTGTTTTTTTTTTTTTTTGAGACAGAATCTCACTTTCTTGCCCTGGGTAATATCATGGCATCATCATAGCTCACTGTAACCTCAAACTCCTGGGCTCAAGAATCCTCCTGCTTCAGCCTCCTGAGTAGCTGGGACTACAGGTGCCTGTCACAACACCAGGCTAATTTTTTCTATTTTTAGTCAACATGGGGTCTCACTCTTGCTCAAGCTGGTCTTGAACTCTTGCACTCACGCAGTCCACTGGCCTTGGCCTCCCAGAATGCTAGGATTATAGGCGTAGACCACTGTGCCTGGCCTTTTCGTGGAATTTCAAACCACATGTTAAAATGGGGCAGAGATCAAAGATATACTTTCCCTCAAATAAGCTCCACAAACTCAAATAAATAAGGTTATTGAAAGAACCAAGAACATTCTAGGGTATGAGGCAGAAAAATTTCCCTGAGGTATATTTGGCTGTGTCCTGTTAGGATGGAAAAGAGTCTTGAGGGTATGAATATTCTTAGAAAGCAACTTATCTCTATTTAATTAAACTATGGTATCACTGAGAGGATAAGCAGTATGGTTGTGAAGTGTAATTCTGTAGTTAGACAGATGATAGGCATTCTGGTCAACCATCCAACCAAGACCAAGTTATGTAACTCACATGCACCTCATGAATGACAATGACCCCTAATAGGACTGTCTTATAGATCAAATGAGAGATGACAATGTGCTCAACCCAGCCTCGTGAGCATTCAAAATTAGTTGCTGCTGCTGCTATTATTATTATTATTATTAAAGCATTTAACTATAGCATATTAATGATGGAAATTCAATCTACATCAAATTAATCTTGATTTGTAGTATTTATTCAATTCTCCCATGAATTGAAAAAGGTAATTACAAGCCCCCAAATCATAAATTTAAAACACAAAAATCTTCGTGGCAAAGCTTATTTTTAGGAGGTTTGTTGATTTTCTTTTACTGCCTTTTGAGTATGTTTTGGTTAGAGAGACTCAAATGTGATCTGCCTTTCCTAGACATCTTGCTAATTTTGTAAATGTCTGCAAAAAATACACAGTGATATTGGGCAGCGCCTGTGGCTCAGTGAGTAGGGCACTGGCCCCGTATGCTGCGGGTGGTGGGTTCAAACCCAGCCCCAGCCAAACTCGAACAAAAAACAGCTGTGCATTGTGGCGGGCACCTGTAGTCCCAGCTACTTGGGAGGCTGAGGCAAGAGAATCCCCTAAGCCCAGGATCTTGAGGTTGCTGTGAGCTGTGTGACGCCACAGTACTCTACAGAAGGTGATAAAAGGAGACCCTGTCTCTACAAAAAAACAAACAAAAAATCCCCCAGTGATATAGGTCAAAAAAAAAAAAAGGAACCAGAATATCACTTCCCAAAGAAACATCACATTTTCTCAAAGGGAAGTGGGATTAGCATCCAAGTGTTCTCACAGGTCAGCGTAGATTAAAAAGATATATCTATATACACACAATTCAGCTTTGGGTTTGTTCTTTAACATGAAACAAATAGTGTTGGCTTTGCCACTGCCATGTTCACTAACGCAGACCACAGCCTCTGAGTTGTTACAAAGATTTACAAGGCCATCAGCCATGTCTTTTGGACATCAATCAAATTCACTCGTGGCCATTTCACCCAAAATAGCCGATCAAGAAGAGCTCCATTCATTAAGACAGACATACATCATCTGAGCATTTTTAAATATCTTATGACAAACTGATCAGATTAGAATAATTAATCACAGTAGAGAGCTGTCCAGCAGCCTCTGGAAGTCACAGAAGAAACATGGTTATGAGGACAGAACTGAGAGTCAGAACAGACCTAAGTCTTTTGCCTGCAACTGCAGTACTTTAAGCAACCCAATTAACCTCTCAAAGACTCAATTGCTCAACTCCAAAATGAGGATACCAGTAGGATTATAGCGAATGAGCAACTATAGCAAGAGAATTCAGCATAGTGTTAGTCCTTCAATCTATTTTTTTCAATAACATCATTGTATCAGAATTCATTGGTCTTCCATCCACCTAGTATTTGTTTTCATGTTTATTGAGCACAATCCCATCCCTCCCTCCAAATCTAAGAACACCCCTGTCTTTAACCCTTCATACCTAAGGAATTTCTTGAGGTATTGCCGGCTGCATGAAGACCAGGAAAACACCCCATTATTTCCAGTTAGTGTGGGAGACATAATGTTGCCTTCAGCCTTCCTGCAGGGATTGCCCTCTCCATCATGGATCATGCCGAAGCTGAAACGGAATGAGAACCAAACCCTTCTGTGCATTTATTTTCCAAATTACAACCAGAGGAAGGAAAAAGATGCCTGGAGAACCAACAAACCCAAGAGAGACAGAATTACAGAAATCGTAAGAAAGATTAAAAAAAAAAAATCACTACAAATTGTGACATTCATGCAGAAGATTTAAAGGCTGCTAAGAGCTTTATTATTTCTTGGCCACAAAAATCAAAGAACAGGGTACCTGCCACATATTTTAAGGGATAGAAAATTTTGGTCACGTTTTTTAAACTACAGTGATGGGACAGTTGAGTTCTTTAATGTCAAATAGCCCATTTATTTTCTTACCACCAATCAAGGAACTATGGTAAGAAAGTTTGGAGTAGAAGGGAGATACAGAGAGAGGCTAATGATATGTTGTTTACAGACTATTCACACAAAAGGCTCGTGTGATATAAAAACTCTCCAATCGGAATAGACATTTCTCAAAAGAAGACATACAAATGGCCAACAGGTCCATGAAGGCTCAATTATCATTATGCATCAGAGAAATGCCGATCAAGATTGCACATCAAAGACAGGCAGTAAGGAATGCTGGTGAGGATGTGGAGAAAAGGGAATCCTCACGCACTGTTGGTGGGAAGGTAAATTAGTGCAACCGCGTGGAGAAGAGAAAGAGAACTACCAAGTGACCCAGCATCCCCCTGCTAGGTCTATATCCAAAGAGAAGAAAATTCAGTACATCAGAAAGATATCTGTACTTCAGCACTTACTGCAGCACTATTCACAATAGCCGAAATTTGAAATCCACCTAAGGATCCATCAACAGATGTATAAAGACATTATGGAATATTAGACAGCCAGGAAAAGAAGGAAATCCTGCCATTTGCAACAACGTGGACGGAACAGGAGAACGTTATGTTAAGTGAGATAAGCCAAGCACAGAAAGACAAATCTTGTATGATCTCACCCATATGTGCCAGTTAAATATTAAAAGCAATTGATCTCATGGAGGCGGACAGTAGAATGATGGTTAACAAAGTCTAGGAGGGGATGCAGGGGAAGGGGAAGAAATTGGGGATGGTTAATGTGTACAAAAATACAGTTAGACAGAGTGAAAAATATTTGACAGCACAACACAATGACTATATTCAGCAATAAATTAGGGCATGCTTTAAAATAACTCAAAGAGTGGAATTAACACAAAGAAAGTATAAACACCAGAGGGGATGGATACTCCCAATTATCCTGATTTGATTAATTCACGTTGAGTGCCTGTATCAAAATATCACACATACTCTACATATATTCACAACTATTACGGACCCATAATTAAAAACAATGTTTTAATAAAGGAAATTAAAACTCTCCAAATGATGATTCATTTATTAGCTGAAATCACAAACATCTTTAAAAGTTAATGTTGAGGCTTGGCGCCCATAGCACAGTGGTTACAGCGCCAGCCACATACACCAAGGCTGGTGGGTTCAAGCCCAGCCTGGGGCCAGCTAAACAACAGTGACAAGTGCCACAAAACAAACAAACAAAAATTTAATAGTTGAATCCAGCTATGAAGACCTTCTCTCAAACTTAATTAATTGTCCCATTTTATTACAGAAGGTTTTTGCGATTAGGGAACAAAAATAATTTTAGGTGGTCTACTTCCTCGAAGTCACACGCCCTTTGCCTAAATGAGTCCCCAATTTCCTGACAGGAAGAATAAAGGTGACATCAGAGTGTGTGTGTGTCTATCTGCATGGGATAAACACACCACAGACACAGCTTCCTTCAGGATACAGGAAAATGGGGCCGGGAGGGAGGGGAATAAGCTTCTTTGATCATCTCTGAATAATTCAGTGTACAAAAAAGCCTGTAGCTTTTTAAGAAGGGGCATGCCATGACACTTCGGGAATTTACATACGGCCGTGATTATTTCTTTCCTACTTAAAATTAGCTAAGAGCGTCTTCACCTCAGCAAAACACGAAAGAAAAGAAAAAAGCACCTAAAAAACCCAGAGAATCAGTTAAATAACTTGCAACTTGGTTGTGGACAGGATGTAACCCACGTGGCCATTAAATGCTGCTGTTTAGAAAAAGCGACATTCACAGTAACTGGCCTGTATTGGGCCCATCTTATAATTGGACATTATTCTAGGCCGTCTGCAAGACTTAGTCCATCAATCTACTTAGATCGATAAAAATCACTAGAGGGATGCCGGTGAATTGCCCCAGTGGTTGTCATACACAGCGGAATCAAGGAACCACTCACTTGTGCCCGGACTCATGAGCGATGGTGAAGGCCAGGCCGAGCCCCGTGTCCTCGTTAATGGTGCAACTCCGGTATTTGCTGCACATGCCGCTGATGGGGGCAAACCCTGTGGAAAGATCAGTGTTGATCGTGAGTTCACATACACAGATACACCGCCACTTATTACGTTCTATCTGGTTTTCATTTAATAGATCAATGCATTTATTTTCTTTTGCAAGAAAATGCTACAGATAAGTAGTTCTGTGTCCTTTGTGATGATAAGGTATAAATGCAGCATTTCAGGTTTTTGTGAGACAGTGTCATCTTCCTAACAACGCTGGGAGGTCTGTATGCATTACTGTAATTCTCATTTTACATGTGTCTAATCAGTGGGGTCGACAAAATGCAAACTAAACCAATGCAAAATGTTCACTGAACAAAGCGCAAGGTGTGTTTTACAGGGAAAAAGACACATGTTATTCTTCTAGAGCAGTGAATGTAGAGACATTTGAGCAATACATGCAGATTAAATGTATTTTTCTCCTGTTATTACAATGGGATAAATATTCCTGTTTCCAAAAGCTACTGCTTTCCAAGAGCAGTTATGAAATCATTCCAGACAGCCCTTGATTCCATCTTGAAATACATTACTGTGAGAGAGAGAATGACAGTCTTTTCAGTTTGGGGTTCTAATAATTCATAGGACAAGGCTGTGCATCCATTTAGTATTAAACACGTGTTTGTGAAATGATCGTACACACCTTACTGCCAAGATGGATGTGAAATGACCTGGGAAATGTAACGCAAAGGCTCACATCATAGCTGGCAGCAGCATCGTGAGCACCACCACTACCACTAAACAGGTGCCGAACATCACACACGGTGATATTAACTTAGTTATGTTCGTGTGTGTGTATAATTATAGGTTAGGAAACTGAGGATCAGAAAGGTGAGTTAATGTGCTAAATATCTCACAGCCATCAATCCCAGACTCAGGAATCAAGAACAGACACATGCAAAGTCAAGTCCACGTTCTTGCGTTAGGACTTGCTGCTTAAAGTGAGTGATCTATGGAATCATTGGTGGGACTCCTGGCGCCATGTTGGTTTTTCCAAACCTTTGGCTGTGTTTTGGTCTCTGGCTGACTGCGAAAGTGGCCGCCTCCTCAGAATCTCTCTTCAAGACATCAACGATGCACTGGTTTATCAAATATCACATTTGCACATTCCAAACTCAGGACATGAATGAATATGTACCATCCCTCCTTTTCTATGAAACAACCTCCCAAATAGTTATGCTTATTCAATGCTATGATTCATAACAAATTAGTGAAATAAACACAATGCATAGGACATAATGGACACATTGTAGACAATTTGAAAACACAAAATTTTGTTAACTTCAATCTACCTTTATTCCTAATATATCATAAGGGATTATTAATATAAAGCACTTTGAGAAAGAAAGAGAGGGGGTAAATCATGTAAGTTTTTCTCAGATCCCCCTATTTGACCATCGGCTGTGCCAGCAAACAATGGCTCTCCCATTCTGCTTTTGTAAACAGTATTTTATGGGGATGCAGCCATGCTCATACCTATTTGTTCATATCGTCTATGGCTGTTTTTGCACAAATCCAGCTGAATTGAGTAGTTGCAACAGAGGTGTGCAAAACCTAAAATATTTGCTCTCTGGCTCTTTACAAAGAAAGTGTGCTGAGCCCTGTTAAACACAATCATCAATTAATCAAACAAATGACTGAATTCCTACTATGTGTAATGGAATATACTAGAAAATATAGTATAGGTGCCATGGAAATAGTCCTTACTCCCCCTGCCTTGTATGAACATGGAAGCACAGAGTCCTCCAAGGTCAAGTAACTTTCTAAAGGAGGCACTGCTACCTAGTGGTACAGTTAGGTACCAGATTCTCCTAGGCCACCCCGTTCTGTGGTCATGATGCTTCTGGAATAATCTTCCACTTAGGTAAGTGGACCATCTCATGGCTCAGTGATCATCTGTGGGATCAATAGTGAAAAATGCAAAAGGAACTAAATAAAAGGGCTCTCCATTTCATACTGAGTTTGTTTAAATAGGACAATGTGAGGATCATCTATAATTTAATAATTAGGTGTCTATACTAAGGATCAAAACCACCACACATCTGACAGAAAGTCTTCATACTAGGTCGGGCGCTATGGCTCATGCCTGTAATCCTAGCACTCTGGGAGGCTGAGGTGGGTAGACTACTTGAGCTCAGGAGTTTGAGACCAGCCTGAGCAAGAGTGAGACACTGTCTCTGAAAATATCCAGCACTGTGGTAAGTACCTATAGTTCTAGCTGGGCATTGTGGTGGGTGTCTATGGTCCAGCTACTCAGAAGGCTGAGGCAAGACAATCGCTTGAGCCCAAGAGACTGAGGTTGCTGTGAGCTATGACGTTCTAGCTGGGCACTGTGGTGGGTGACTGTACTCCCAGCTACTCAGGAGGCTAAGGCAAGAGAATCGCTTGAGCCCAAGAGACTGAGGTTGCTGTGAGCTATGACGCCATAGCACTCTACCCAGGGCAACCAAGTGAGACTCAGTCTCAAAAAAAAAAAATAATAAGAGAGTTTTCATACCATGCTATTGGCTAACAGGTGCACAAAGATCTGTTCATACCATACCTAGAGTGTCACATGGTTCATTCTTCCAGGAGCAAATATCAAATCCCGTGAGTAAGATGGCGTGGTCATGTCTCTTGCCATTCTTTCCAATGAGGGCTGACTGCCACTGGCAAAAGCTATTCAGAGACTGGTCTGCGTGATGGTTGATCAATAATCCTCCCTATGGGAAGCCCACACAAATTAGAGTGTGAATTTGACTAAGAGATGAGACTGTTAAATCATTCCATTTGTTTAGGCAAACACAGAAACATCGTGCTTGTAGGGGGAAAGGCCAGCAGAGCTAAGGTAGGAGCCAATTAGAGAAGAAGTCCTTTCTAGCTGAATGCTCCCAACATTCAAAGCTAGGACCAAGTTTCAGTAGCGTCGTTTATAGCCAATTACATTTCCACGGCAGAGAATCTGACATCTGCTGGGAACGTCTCTGTGCATCTCACCTGGTAAAACTTTCATAAAACTGTTACAACTTTTAGAACATAATAATAAAAGAAGGGCCATGAAGTTCAATACGTTTTTTTAATAAATCATAAAGATGACTGTGACCACAGCTTATTTAACTCAATGCCAAAATTTCCAGCAAAGCACGCGTCACATCATGGGTTACAGTTACTCAACCAACATAAGGAGAGTCACTAAATGGATGAATAAACAGTTATAGCGCATACCCTTCAAATGGTCATTTGTCAAAATGTTCTAATGGTTAAAACTACTGACTTGGGTCAGTTTGAGGGTTTTCAGAAGAGATCTCAGTGAATTAGAATGTGGCGTGCTTCCATGTCCTTGAGCTATGCATAAATAGTAGGTAAAATGCAAAAGTATCTCCCAGCCAACACACCCCCTTTCTAAAATTCCGAAAATAATTTGACAAGTCGTTAACCTCTGCATCTCTACACACCTGGGCACTTAGATCAGTTTTGGTTTTGTCTCTGTCTCCCAGCGGCTTTTACCTTTGTCTATGGGGGTTACAGATGAAGAGGAAGAGCCTCAGGGGACTTAGAAATTGGTCTGTTTGAATGGTAATCCTTACCTTAGAAAAACACGGTTCAAACATCAAAACGCTACAAAAGCAGTGAGCACCATACAATTTAACACTTTATTATATGTTCTGGTTTGATAATTCGCTTCCCCTGCGTCTTGTACTCACTGTAATCAATTCGAGGGCAGTTAAAGATCCCCTGGTTTTGGCCTACACTAAGACAGTACGTTTCCTGTAATAATTTTCTGATGTCTTATTTTTAGTATATTTTCAAAATATCCTTTTGCATCTTACCTGCAATTACTCAGCATATTCATCTTTTGAAATTCAACAAGTCTTTAAATCTATCACCAAACTCACCTTCCTTACAAAGCCTAGATAATATTTATATTTTCTTTATACAATATATTTATCTCAGATATAGTTACTCTCTGAAATTAACCGTTTTTTGTTTTGTGTGTCTATATGCATATATACCACATGTAAAACATATTTATATATAAACAGTTTATGGTGTTTTAGTTTAATTATTTGCTTATACAGCCCTGTTTAAGGTCAACCTACTTTCAGATTTGGATTCTGATCACCAGGACATGAATTGGCGTATAGTGGATGTTGAACAAATATATCCCGAATGCCAGACTGAATGAAGAAATAAATGAAGATGCCACTTACAGGTTCTTGTTCTAGAAGAATGACGCTCACTACAACGATGTTTATGTCACTTCCAATAGTTCCATCTTTAAATAAGCTGGAGACCTGTTGGAATAACTGGAGTCAAACAAAAATCTCAAAATTTCAAAAACCCATGAATTAATCAGACATATTAACAAAGCACGTAGGCTTCAAATTTACCAAATACATGTACACATGAAGACGATTTCTTCCAAGTTCAACTTTTTCCCCCCATAAAGCCACATAAGCAGCTACATCTGCTATTTAACCTACGACAGGGAAGCCTATAATTAACTTCCTCGGAGAGCCAGAAGGTTTGTGACGGCCTCCCTTACCATGTTCATCACTGTGAGGATGTACGTGGTGACGTCCCCCCTGCCATGCTTTTCCACCATCTTCTTGTCAGCTACCACGAGAGTTTCCACATTCAAGCCCTTCTGCAATTTTCCAGCTGATCTCCTGGGTCGCCCTGAGCTCCCATATTCATCAAATCTTAGATATGTGTCCTCTGAGGGAGGCTTGGGTGCATCTACGGAAAACACAAGAGCATTTGGAATGGAGATCAGTAGAGAACATCTGGGTGAGATAGATTGAGAGAGAAACGGAAACAAGGGGAGGAGAGAAACTATGAAATCCCCACTTCACTAATCTACTAACGAGTAATAGCATCCCTGCCTGAATGTGTCTTTTGCATTCAGCATATGGTCAAAAAAGATCTATGCAACAGATGTTTGGATGCATAGATGGGTAGACAGAAAGATGGATAGATGTCCTGATGGCTGGGTGGATGTGTGCATGGATAGATCCAGTAACTCAAAAATGCTGTAAGGCCAAGCACTATGGTTCATGCCTGTACTCTTCACACTCAGGAAGGCCAAGGCAGGTGGATTGCTTGAGCTTAGGAATTTGAGACCAGTCTGAGCAAAAGCAGGACCTTGTCTCTACTAAAAATAGAAAAACTAGCTGAATATTGTGGCAGGCACCTACAGCTACTTGGGATGCTGAAGCAGGAGGATCTGGAGTCTAAGAGTTTTCAGAGAGCTATGATGACTCCACAATACTCTACCCAGGGCAAGAGAGTGAGACTCTGCCGCAAAAAAAAAAAAAAAAGAAAAAAGCTACAATTCTAGTTTATAGAGCAGGTTAACAAAAATCAATTTTGTCAGGGTGGGGGAAACTTTAAAAGTAGAAAATCCTCATTGTATTACTCTCAAACTGCAGAAACAGACGTTATCCGTTGGATCTGAATTCATTATGACACTTTATATATTATTTTCTAAATAAAATGCAAACTACTATCAAACACTGCCCACGCCTCATGCTCTTGTCTCAACACAGACTTTAACATAGAATGTAGTAAGTGGCAAGTAAGGGCTCTTTGACTTGATGGTGACTTAGTTATTAGACAAACAGCTCAGTCAGGGGTGATATTAAGAACTACCAGACACTTTTTCTAACTAGTAAGGTGTGAGCACACACTTAGCAGAATGAATACTGGTCAGGGCTTTTGTGCAGAGATCTGGAAGTTTCTACTGGACCAGGCGGGATATCTTTAGTTGATGAGTATCAAGAAGTCCAAGGATCCCTGGGAAGAAAAAGGGCAGTAACTACCTCCTAACTAGTACAGAACTAGTTCAATACTGTCACACTGGCACCCTCATAATAGTGACGTCAGCTTTCTACAGACAAATACTAAAAGATCAAGTCAATTAGAGTTATTTTAAAAACTAAGGTTGGCCATCAGACTTGGGACCCTGAGTCTCACTTTCCTCAGCCATGACCCTGACACCCATTCACAAGATTGCTCTAAAAATTAGTTTTGATATTTCATATCAGATATGTACATGTCCACTATAAATATTATTATTAATACTATATGTGCCACTGGTATTACAGATACATGTGAAATGGATGTTCCTTACTGGCAATATTTCAACAACACCCCAAATCCCAAACCCAATTAAATTGGTAGAAGCACTATCTTCCATTACTGTTTTGATTTACATCTTAGAGATGCCATTTCTTCTTCGCGAAAAGACCCTCACCTTGTTGTCTACCTTGGTACCCACTGAGATGAGGCTGGTACAACAGAGGTATTGAATATTTTGTTTGATTTCATTTAAATGTAAAAAGCAATACCTGATTCAGTTATTTAAAAACTTTTAAGTATGTCTGAGACAACTTGGATATGTAAATCACCTTTTCCCATTTTAAATTTTATGAAATCTAAATACAGATTCAGTACATTTGAAGAAAATTTATCACCTGAATTGAAGTTCTGCTGCAAGTGTAAAATGAATGCCAGATTTCCAAAATTCAGTATGACAAAAGAAAATAAAATCCTTCATTAATAAATTGTTATTTCCATGTTGAGAAAAGATTTTGCATATATTAGGTCGAACATGTCATTAAACGTGTCATTAAAATTAGTGTATCCCTTTTGGAATTTTTCTTGTGGCTATTAGAAAATTTGAAATTGGCTCGGTGCCTGTGGCTCAAGTGGCTAAGGCGCCAGCCACATACACCTAAGGTTGCGGGTTCAAATCCAGCTTAGGCCCGCCAAACAACGATGGCTGCAACCAAAAAATAGCCAGGTGTTGTGGCGGGCGCCTGTGGTCCTAGCTACTTGGGAGGCAGAGGCAGGAGACTTGCTTGAGCCCAGGAGTTGGAGGTTGCTGTGAGCTGTGATGCCACGGCACTCTACCCAGGGGGACAGCTTGAGGCTTTGTCTCAAAAAAAAAAAAAAAGAAAGAAAAAAAAGAAAAGAAAATTTGAAATTACCTTTGAGACTCATGTTGTATTTCTAGTGCACATTGCTGGACCAGAAAAATAGGAAAGTTGAACTTGGGTCACAAACCATGCCCAAGGGTACCTGTGTTTCCCTTCCTTATGGTCTTGTTTCCTGGGAAGTCTCTCCTTCATGTCCTCAAGAGGACGCCCAACCACACCTAGACATTTACCTCCAATTTTGTTCATCATTGGAAATCTGTATCCTTTCCCCAAGAGCATAGTACCCAAGGTAAGTTTGGAACCAGTGGCTAAAAGGTAGGAGATACTACAAAAGAAAAAGTGAAACCATATCTACATCTCTACTAATGTAGCCTAGAAGAACTTGATCATGAAGCTTTAGTCTAGGAGGGATGATTATTGTCCTCTGCCCAAGACTAAATTGCACTGGGTGTTCAGGGCAACCCCCTTTTTAACCCACAAAGTCAGCACATCCTATGATACTCAAGAAAGCCCTCAAGGACCCACATAAGAACAGAACAAGAAAAAGTTTCCTTACATACATTTCTTGCGTCGTCCACAAAAATGCTGCTTTTGCAACCTTCGGTGGTGATACTGTATCTCTTGACTCTGAGATGCATGGGGAGTGTGACTTGGGGAGTAACCAGGATAATCCCGGCCGGAGCCAGGGTAGCCACGGTACCGCTGGACCTTCTCCTCTGCTGTTCTTTTGTACAGTACGTGAGGATGGTGTCCTGTAGGGGAGCTGTAGTTGTGTTCCTGGGCCAGCAGCTGAGGTAACGGCGAGATGAGGAATTCATTCTTTCGTGTTCTTATTAAACCTGACTAAAATGTCAAACACAAAGAAAGCATCTGTGATTCCACGCATTCCTTTTGTATGGCAGCCACTGCTTACTCACTTCATCTGGTGGTCAGGCACCGTGCTACACACTGGACAGGCATCACTGCACTTTTATCTGCACCATAACAAGTTGCTATTATTAGCACCCCGATTTTACAGAGGATAAAGCTGAGGCTCAGATAGTGAGAAGGCTGGGATTGGTACCCAGAGTTCACTGCTCTCAGAGGCAGTGCTCTGAACTACTAGGCTGCCAATCCTGAGCTTATGCCCAAAGGGCTGACCCATGGGTGTCCTAGTGCCCCTGCCTTTGGGGAGTTTATAGGATATGTAGTAAAAACAAAGGTATTTCACCTGGATTTTCTAAGTGCTAAATAAACAACCTAGCAAGGGCAGCAGAGGAAGGAGTGAGCGATTACCTCTAAGTAGGGGTCTTGAGCGACACTATGATGAAGACAGATATATATGCTAAATCAAGAGGAGACCCTAGCAAGCCCATCCCATTACAATTTTGTTTTTCAAGTTCATGGCCTAGTGTGTGCATCTCCGTACCTAATATTGCAGCCAGTTTATGGGCTTTATATCTATCTCCAATAACAAAAAAAAATGTGCCCCCTCCTCACCACCCCTCGTGTACAGTTTTAATGTATACTTTGTGAAAGCATATCACCTTGGTATACCTGGTGCATGCTACATGTTACCAGCCAATACATACTTGTTTCTTAGTCCACAGACACTTGTTAGGGTAGAGGAGATGCCGAGGATACGCCCATATCAGATAGTGAAATCGGAGCTTGGAAATAACAAGTTCAAGACCATATAACACATGGAATCTTCTATAGTTCAGGTGTGAAAGCCAAGAGCATTCTGTGCAATGCCTTATTTAGACCTCATAGCTCCCTGTGAGGAGATCTCAGCAGGAACCCCAAGCAGAATTCATTTTCCCCACTCAAGCAGGGCCCACTTGTCCAAGCAGTGCCCTCCCCTCCTTTGAGCTGCACACAGATGAAAGACACCATTTACAATCCCCTCACAGACAGAATAAAAGGGAAAAAAAAAGTAAATTATCCCTAAAAGCCCTCCTGCCTTACTAACTTCCTTACTTGGTTCAACTAATATCAAAGGCTTAGGCCACTTAAATGTCTTAACTGGACTAACTGGTTTGTAAGTTTTCTATTTTCTCTCTATTTCATGAAAACTGTACATAAGTCAAATGAACAGTAAAACCTTCTATATTCAGAAAACAAGAAAAATAAAAAGGTCATTCTATGTTGGGACAAAATCCTGGGCCCATGCAGCCCATCTTTCCATTCAGCTTCTGTGTGGCTAAGGACACAGTCAACAAAGCAAATAAACAACCTTCAGAACTGGAGAAGATATTCACATGTTATGAACTGTACAAAGAACTAGTGACCGGAATATACAGAGAATTTAAGCAAATCAACAGAAGACCAAACAACCCCATCAATCAGTGGGCAAGCAACAGGGACAGAACCTTTTCCCAAGATGACAGATAAATGGCCAAATACATGAAAAGTACACAGCATCCCCAATCATTAGAGAAACACAAATCAAAACCAATTTAGGATACCACATAACACCAGTGAGAATAGCCCGTATCACAAGGTCCCAAAGCGGCAGATGCTGGCGTGGGTACAGAGAGGCATCAGGGGTACAATGGTGCACTGTTGGTGGGACTGCAAACTAGTACAGCCTTTTCAGAAAGAAATACAGAGATTCCTCAAAAGAACTAAGTGGGTTTTTTAATTTGAATTTTGGGATCCAAATTTATGTTTCACATCTCCAATTCCCCTTTCCTCCAAATAACATCCTACAGAAAATAGCATTATGCTGTTAATAATGCTGACCAACTCAACTCATAATTGATTCATTGATCTCCTGAGCTCCCTCTCCGTCCTTGCCTTTGTTCTCATTCCAGTTCAGTCACCTATTACCCCAGGCCTAGGATAAAACAGAGGTCACCTACCTCACCTCCCTATTAACAATCTCTATTCTGCTTCACTTTGGAGTTATTTTTTCCAAAGCATCACTGTTAACAAGTTATTATACTCTGTTACTACAATATGAATTCTCAACCAAGAGACATGGATTAGAAGCCACTCTGCCGTCCAGTCCAATCCAAATTCAGCCCCCAGAAGCCTCTCTACCATCTTCAATCTCTTTTGCAATTTTTTTTTTTTTTTACCCAAACTCCAATTACAATGGCTCCACTACTATTCCATAAAGAGGAAAGCCAAACTCTTACCTCAGTATCTTTGTGTTTTCTGTTTCCTGTGCCCCAAAATGCTCTTCTCCAGATATTTCACTTCATGTAGGTCTTTGCCCAAAGGCCACCCACCTCTTCAAACCACCCAAAGAGGTCAGATAATTATCTTTGCAAACTCATCCTATAAAAGTGCTATATACCTCGCTGCTGGGTATCACTATGGTCACCAGATTGCCAAGGGAAGTACGTCAAAGGTGGCTGTAGTGATATTCATGATGAGGTATGTAGCACTTTTCCTAGGATGAGTTCACAAACTTAAAGCAAATCCTGCCATTTTCCATCTCAGTCAGCTTTTTTCTTCTGTAACAGCCCTTATCATTACTTGACGGTCCCTTATGTAACCATGTGCTTCTTTGTTTACTGTTATTCTTACTGGCTCCATAAAGACTGGGCCTTGTGTCTACCCTGCTCCCTTTCCTATGCCTAGCAGCTGACACGTGGTAGGTGCTTTCTGTGAATATTTATGGAATTAATAAACTACAAATAAGGCAACATGCTTAGGGCCAAGGGAGACATAAAAACAAGCAAGGCATTAATGCCTGCCTTCAAGGAATTTTTCTGGAGACAAACTCTGCTGGAGGCAAACATAACCAATTAATCAGATATATTCTCTTCTTAATTCATCATCCTGATTTACATGTCCCTCCCGCAGGCTTCCAGACCATCCTGTACTTTATCACAGCATTTATCAAGGGCACTACTATTTCTCTAGTTTCTCTCTCTTTCCTGGTAATGTAATTCCCCAGCAAAGCAGAGAAAATGCTGTAACTGACTTTGTGTCCTTAGAACTCAAATGACATTAGCATGACACTCAAAGCATGCTGTATAAATGAGGGGAAATATATATATATATATATATGCACACACATATAGATATATAAGAATATGTAGAAGAATATATATATATATATATATATATATATAAATGCTGTGGGAGTGCAAATTTAGAGCATACCACCTCTGAAGATAATATCTGAACTTTTGTATAGTAAGGAACGATTTTGAAGGAAAAAGTCCTAAGAACAGATCTATGTTACAGAAAACTCTGGCTGACACCCAAATTGTAGCAAGTCTCTTACCTCCTGGAGCAGTGAAGAATGTACTAATTTAACACTTTATATGCTTCCCTGGTATTATTGTGAAATATGCCAAAAATTTTAGACAAGAATAGACATTTATCTAATGACCACACATTACCTAACATCTATTTTATCATTTGTTACTATACTATCTTTGCTTCAGATGTCTTTTGGAAAATACCTAAACATGACAGACATGGGTATTCAAGCACTGAAATATAAACTCTCAAGACTCAATAAACTCAGATTAGTATTTTGGCATAAAAGCTGTATCCCTTGCTACCAATTCCTTCCTATGTGATAATTGATAATCAGTAGATTGTCGATATCTCTTACTATTTCAATTCTCATGATCCAAATTATTTGGTTTCTAAGTTTGGATAGTAAAGAATTTATGTAGTTAATTCCCAATACGTATTTGCTGAAGATAGGGACTTTGTGAGAAGGAACAGTTTACACATATTCCATAACTCAGCTGGAGCTGCATAAATAGTGCCTGCTACGTTTGCAAGATGGTGGAGCAATCATTTTTGAAATAAATGATGGTCCTCCATTCCCAAAGTTGCTGCCCGCTGATGCGCACCATCAGAAAGACATATGTTTTTACTTGCTTCTGTTGTGGTGATGGGTTATGTCAAGCTCTCCACCCGCCTCTGCCCTGCCCTCCCTTGAAACTGCCAGCATTCATTTGTTAAACAGACAGCTAGCACTGGAAGCCATGCCAGGAAACAGCTGTTGGAGATGTGACTAAGTATACCACATGGCATCAACCCATTGGGTAGCTGCACGGTGGGGTGGATGACTGACTGGTCTTCCAATGCTCTCCCAGGGTTGGCGTGGAAGAGCCAGAGATGACCGCCATGTTGGAAAACGGCTAGTCCCAATTTCTCTCAGTTATTTATCTTCCCCTGCCCCTCCTCACCCCCTGCCTTAATGCAAAAATAATCATAGGATTATGAGAAGTTAGCAATTGTGTAGTCTACCCCCCTGATTTTACAAAGGAAGGAAATGGGATCCAGAAAGAACAGAGAATTGTCCAAAGTCTCCAAAACTGATTAGTAGCGAAACTTATTTGGCTAGCAGTCAGTTTTCTTACCTACTTAATGAACAGACCAGAATTAATTATTTTTAAAGGTTCTTCCACACCTGAAATTTTAACTTATTTCATTTTAGATGAGATGTATATAATTGGTTTATATAATTTCTTCATGAGAAATATTAAGCTCCCTCGAAAGCCTGGTGCACACTTGGCCACTAAAGCATTTGGATGTTGCTATCTACCATCAGAGTCCAGTTAGAGGGCTCAGCACCCATCTGCAACCTGGTTGTAAAGATGCAAATACCTGCACCCAGCCCAGACTTTCTAGAGTTTTAAAACCAATCTTCTAGGCTCGGCGCCTATAGCTCAACCGGCTAAGGCGCCAGCCACGTACACCTAAGGTGGTGGGTTCGAATCCCCAGCCCGGACCCGCCAAACAAC